TGTCTTTTTTTAGAAAGTAAAACCCTCTCGGGGGACCCAAGTGTCTCTTTTTTAATGGTTGTGAAACCTTTTTCGGGGTCTCAACAGTTTTTTTTCCAACAATGTGGAATCTCGGGGCTTCCAACTGTTTTTTTCTAAAAAAGGTGAAACCTTCTCGGGGGCAGCAAGTGTTTTTTCTTGTATGAATAGGAAGCCTGTTTGGCCACCTGTTTTTGTTTTTAAAAATATGAACCCTGTCGGTTTTTAAGAGAATGTGAAATTTTCTTAGGGGCCCTAACTTTTATTTTTTAAGAAAGTGTCTTCTCTGTGGTCTCAACTGTGTTTTATTTAAGAAAGTGAAACCTCCTCAGAGGCCCCAAGTGTCATTTTTTAAGAATATGATAAAATGTCGGCCCCCCAATTGTTTTTTTTAAAGATTGTGAAAACTTCTCAGGGTCCTAACTTTTTTTTTTTTCAAGAATGTAAAATCTTCTCGGAGGGTTCTAACTGCCTTTTTTATAAAGATGCTGAAACCTTTTTGGGGATTGCCTAATGTCTTTTTATTAACAAATGAAAACTTCTCGGGACCCCCAACTGCTTTTTACTTCCCGAGCGTAAGCAAAGGAAGTATTGTAATCGAGTTCGTCGGCCGACTCTCTACTTTTACGTTTTCTCGATCTTTCATGACCCCTAGAAGACGAAGAAATAGGTCTCCCATTTCCGTCTGTCTGTCCGTCTGTCCGTCCGTCTGTCCGTCTGTCCGTCTGTCCGTCTGTTGTCCCGGATTTTTATTAGACAGATAATCTCCGAAAGTACTCGACCGATTGTTGTGAAATTTTGTACTTATATTAAGAATATCATGTAGATGGTAAAACGCTAACCAAAATTTGTCTAATCATCCCCACCACTAATGCGATGACGTCACTTCAAAATTGTACATAGTAAATGGGTTTTCAATTGTATAAAATAACATAGTCCTACACATGTAGTTTACAACTCTGAATCGACTTTTCACCCGAAACGTCCAGATTTTTGAAAAAAAAATCAAAATTATAAAACAACATTTTGAAATTTAATTTTTAATCTGCTAACCAGAATGCTTTGAAATGTTGCAGATGTTTTAAGGCTATAAAGAGCATCATAAATCTTTAGTCAAAAAATATTTGCTTATCCCCTCCAAAAACTTGATGACGTCAGCTCAAAAGTTTGTGGAATAAATCATATCTAAAATGTACAAAATATGATGAGTCTGTACTTGTGATCTATCACTCCATTCATATTTTTTGGATTTGCATATACAGGGTGACTCAAAAAAATTAATGAATGCGTAAATATATTTTATTGATTTAATCAGGAACTACAAAACCGAATGCTCTGAAATCTTGCAGATGTTTTAAGGTCATAAAGAGCATAATAAATGTTTAGTCAAAATATATTTGCTTATCCCCTCCAAAAACTTGATGACGTCAGCTCGAAAGTTTGCCGAATAAATCATATCTAAAATTTACAAAATATGATGAGGCTGTACTTGTCATTTATCACTCCATTCATATTTTTTGGATTTGCATATACAGAGTGACTCAAAAAAATTAATGAATGCGTAAATATATTTTATTGATTTAATCAGGAACTACAAAACGGAATGCTCTGACATCTTGCAGATGTTTTAAGGTTATAAAGAGCATAATAAATGTTTAGTCAAAATATATTTGCTTATCCCCTCCAAAAACTTGATGACGTCAGCTCGAAAATTTGCCGAATAAATCATATCTAAAATGTACAAAATATGAAGTCGTCAAGTTTCCGACAGCGAGGGAAGTACTGTCTAAACTCTTTAGACCAATTTTTTTAAGAATGTAAAACCTTCTCAGCAGCCGCAACTGTGGATTTTTCAAATATTGTGAAACCTTCTCAGGAGCCCCAATTGTCACTTCTTTAAAGAATATGAAACCTTCTTAGGGGCCCTAACTGTTTTTTTGTTAAGAAAGTGAAACCATCTCTGAGGTCCCAAACGTCTTTTTTTAAGATGGTGAAAGCTTCTTGGGGTCCCAACTGTCGCTTCTTTAAAGAATGTGAAACTTTCTTAGGGGACCTAACTGATTTTTTTAAGAAGGTGAAACCTTTTCTGGGGTCGTCAAATGTTTTTTTTTCAAAGAAGCTGGAACCTTCTCGGGCTCATATATTTTTTTTATGTGAAATCTTCTCGGCTTCCCAACTTTTTTTTTAGAAAGTAAAACCCTCTCGGGCGACCCAAATGCCTTTTTTTAAAGGTTGTGAAGCCTTTTTCGGGGTCTCAATAGTTTTTTTTTAAAGAATGTGGAATCCCTAGGTTTCCAACTAGAACCTTCTCGGGGGCCCCAAGTGTCTTTTCTTGTATGAATAGGGACCCTGTTTGGAGGGCCATCTGTTTTTGTTTTTAAGAATATGAAACCTGTTGCTTCTTTAAAGAATGTGAAACTTTCTTAGAGCCCCTAAATGTTTTTTTTTTAAGAAAATGAGACATTCTCTGGGGTCCCAGCTGACTTTTTTTTAAGAAAGTGAAACCTCCTCAGAGGCCTCGAGTATGAATATGATATCTTGTCGGGCCCCCAACTGTTTTTTTAAAGATTGTGACAACTTCTGAGGGCCCTAACAGTTTTTTTTTTAAGAATGTAAAACCTTCTCGGCAGCGGCAACTGTGAATTTTTCAAATATGGTGAAACCTTCCCGGGGACCCCAACTGTCTGTTTTTTAAAGAATGTGAAACCTTCTTATGGGCCCTAACTGTTTTTTTTTTTAAGAAAGTGAAACCTTCTCCAGGATCCCAACTGTTTTTTTTAAGAAAGTGCAACCTTCTCGGGGGTCCCAAGTGTTCTTTTAACAAAATGAAACCTTCTCGTCTTTTTTTTTTTTAATGTGAAATCTCCGCTTCCCATCTATCTTTTTTTTTAAGAAAGTGAAACCTTCTTGGGGTTCCCAAGTACCTTTTTTTTTAAAATGAAAACTTCTCGGGGCCCCCAACTGTTTTTTTTAGGAATGTGAAACCTGCTCGGCAGCTCCAAATGTGTTTTTTATTAAAAATTGTGAAACTTCGTCGGGATCCCAGCAATTTTTTTTTCAAGAATGTGAAATCTCGTGGGTGGTCCTAACTGTCTTTTTTTTTAAGAATGCGGAAATTTATCTTTTTTTAAGTGATTTTTTTTATTACACTATGACTAATACTTTCTACATTATTTTTACTCCCTAAAGGATATCATAAAAAATTAAATTTTGGGAAATTAAATTTTATAGTATTGCAAAGAAGCAGGATTTGTTGGATTGTACTTCAGGGGCGAAGGCACTTCTGTCGAAACAACATTCGATCATTTTTTTTTAATTTTCGTTTTATTGTAGTGGTAGATGTAAGCTAAACTGAGTACTGACCACACTGTTTCCAATATCTCTAGATTTAGTACTTTATTAAGATTTCATTTAACTAAAACAACTTCGATATCTGTTTACCAAGTCACCGATTTTTGTTTTTCGCTTTTTGTCTGATGAAAACAAATGTTCCAAAAAAATCAACCATTATTTTAAATTTTGCATTGGTTAATTACCAACATTTTAAAAAACTTGCTTTGCTTGCTTAATGTGTCAACAAAATGTGCAAAAGTTTTATTCTCGAACCGCCTACTAACTTTACTCTTTTAAATAAATCATGAGATTGTGCTATCCCAGTTTCAATTAATATTTCTTAGAAAGAAATCAACACGTCAAGTCAATTTTCGTTGAACTGTTTGTAAATTCAAAATTCATGTTAGATTTTTAATTTCTCCTGGTTCGAACAAAACCAGACAAACAAATTGTTCATACAAACCACGTGTTACGAAATTCGCTTATTCACTGTTATGTTTACCACGTTATTTCAAAATTTCTGTATTTTTTTACTTGTTATATTGCAACCCGCTTCTTAATTTCTCACTCGAAATTGTTAACATTCCATTTATGATCTGATCAAAACGTTGGTCTATTTTCAGATACAGGACCCTGAAAAGTTGCACTTAAAATCATACTCTCGTGGAGGCGAGAGCTTGAATTTGAACATTTATTCCCGAAGTACCTCGAGTGTTTCCCGCGACCGCGTTGTCGAAGTACGCCGGGTGTTTTTAAGACCAGCTTATTGTGATTTTTATCGCACTGATATGTCTCTTGTTTAGGAGGTAAGTGAACACGTTAAAAAGTGTGATATCATTCTCAAAGTTAATGACAATGAAAATTTGTAATGTCATAGTGCTTAAAATTGCCAAAAAGTAAAAATTGCTTGAATTGCAACAAAACCGGAAAAAATACGATCCTTGGAAATTTAGGCGTTCCCAAAAATGTTTTATTAACGATTTGCTGAAGTTTATGAAATATTTAACAATTGTAGAAAATTACCTTCTGTCAAAAATTACATATTGCTAGGTTGATTTATATTACTTGCACAAAATTGTTTGAAATCACTTCACTAAAGGGTACCAGTAAATGTAATTAATTAAGTAGTTCACTTAAAATGGACGTAATTTTGTACAAACTTTAATGTTTTGAGTAAAACAGTCTATCAAACATGAATTAACAAAATAATTAAGTTTCTATTTTAAGATGTAAAGACAGTAACTTGACTGAAGCATTTGTAATTCTGAATAATACAAACCTGGCTTGGTTTTCGGGAGCGAACTTCCTGCTCTCTCAAAAAAGATTACCCGAAAAATTGTAGGAACTATTTAAAATGCATAAAACGAATCGAAATTTTACACGTCTCTTAATAATAACTCTTCAAAGTAATCGGTCGTATACTGTCGGAAATGCAAAGCACAGCATCATAAAAAATTCATATTAACTTATCAGTTAAGCCTTTGATGCAACATTAATCGAAGTTCATTTAATGATAGAGAAACGGGGAAACTCCCTTGAATTACTAATCTAAAAAAATAAACTTTATAAAAGCGACACAAAACTTGTTGCTAGACACTCGTGAATAAGTTCCTCTAGAAAAATACCTTGTAGCTTGTGTCGCGACAAAAATGGAAGACATTATTGAAAATAGTTTCGGTGTTAATTTAATCCTGATGCGTATTCTTAATTTGTACCCTCCCGAAAACCCGACGCTTCTTTATAAACTGAAAGCTTACTGCGTGTTTTTCGTGCTGTTGCCGCCAGTCCCCATTTTAGGTGCCCTATATTTCCTGTTTGAAGAAAATTTGACTACGGAGGAACTCAACGAAAACGCTTTCGCAGTAGCTCAATTAGGGTGCCAAGTCACCAAATTCTTACCTTTCGTAGTCAACGGTACCAGGATTAAAAATTGTATCCTGTATTTTAAATCGTCGGAGTTCAAGATAAGCGTAGACAAGCAACAGAAAATTATCGACGATTGTTGCTGGATTTGTCGAAGGAATTCTACAGTTTTTTTAGTTTCAATCACAGGTGGTGTAATTTTTTTCGCCTTGAAACCGCTTTTCAGCGATAAACAACAATTTCCTACCGATATCTGGCTACCGTTTGAACCCAAAACAGACTTACGAGTTTTCGTTGTTGTTTATTTGTATGTTTTTAGTGGTAAGTAAAATTAATTTAACTACAGGGTGTGACAGAAGTTTTATTTCAGGGGTTGCATATGCTGCATTTTCTTGTGCTGCAATTGATCCACTAATAGCAGGCCTCGCTGGTTTAGCTATTGGGCAACTAGGAGTTTTAAAAGACAATTTACAACATATGAATGGATACACTGAAAACTCGAAAACTGAAAGAAAAAAGTTTATACGTGAAATTATCAAGAAAAGCGTGGATCAACATAATGCGATTCTGAGGTACGATAAAATAAGGATTAGAAACGATTTTAATTAAGATCTATTTTTTTAGATTTATTTTCGAATATGAAGCTTGTTTCTCGATGTCTGTTTTCAGTCAGTTTATGGGAAGTATTTTAGTGATTTGTTTCTGCTGTTTGCAGTTAAGCAAGGTAAGATTTTAATCTCTACCAAACGCGTATTTAATACGGTACATTTTCAGTTAGATCCGTTAAGTTTCAATTTCATTGCAATGACAACTTTTCTTTGTTTGGTACTTGTTCAAATATATCTCTATTGTTACTATGGTACCATGCTTTTTGAGGAGGTGTTTAATTTGAACAGTGGTCAACAGCAAACACCCAGTAAATCTAAATATTATACTGAGGCGTTGTTGTTGACAATTCCGTAGACAATTTTCTTAAAGTTTTGCATAATTATTTTTCAGAGCAACTCCTTAACTAATGCAATATATATGGGCAACTGGTACGAGTGCGACATAGAATCTAAAAAGTCTCTAACGGTATTGATGGAACGTTCCAAAAGGCCTGTAACCATAAAAGCTGGAAATCTACTTGAAATTTCTATTGCAACCTTTACAACGGTAATTGTTAATTTTGTGCTACTTTATTTCTTATTATTACAGTATTTTTAGATATTAAGAAGATCATATTCTCTGCTAGCGGTTTTAAGAAACTTTTGAAGTTTCAGATTTAACAAATATTTTTTTTTTTTTTTGATAATTATGTGCTTCAACTTTAAGCAAACATGTTTTGTTTCACTATGTATAACCCAACAAGGATGTTTTATTATTACTATTAAAGTTATTATAAGTAACAAAGAGCATAAATATAGAGTAGATTAAACCAGACTAATAAATAAAACATTAAAGTAAGTATATTGTTTTGTTTCAATTATTCATAACCTTCTCTGTATTTATTTCCCAACTATCATAGAATTCTTTTGAAAATTTTCATTTTCGAATAATTTTAACGAATTTTTCATTTAAGATTCTTTTTTTTATCTTTTCAGTTTATTCAAAAAAATTTTATTTATTTTTTTTACTCTTTGACTGCAAGCTGGGTAAGTATTTAGAGTCCATTTGACAAATTTTTGTCTGTCTGTTTGCCTTTTGATATTTTTTCTCATCCAATCCTTATTGTGTTTTTGTATTCTAGTTTATGACCATCATCTGGATGATTAAACGTTATCCAAAATTTATTTGTTCACGTCCTGTAAGAATTGATGACGTTATCTCAAAGTTTTGCTAAGGAAATCCTATTTAAATTTTATAAAATAAAATGTCCCTAGATTTATGATTTATCAGTCCCCTTAGTCTGTAACAGTATTGGTCCCCACTTGAGTTTAAAAGAGGAGATTTTTTTATTCGTTATTTACACAAAAAAATCAAATTTTGGCTTGACCTAAAGCAAGTACTTATTTCACCTACAAAATCTTTTAAATAATGCATACTTAAAACAGAATCAATTTTTATCCAGATAGTTTAAATATGTTTCTGGAATGGCCCAATAAAATATAGCATTTCTTAATATATTTTTTTTTAATTTCAATTCAGACTGAATATTTCTAAAATTTTGCTGTGTGACTATCAACACACTATATTTTTGAAATCAAAACTTTTTCAAAGGTCAATTTTCCAATAAACCCCCTTACGAAAATTTAAGTTTCTTTCAATCACTTTTAAAAACAAATGGAAATCGAACACACATTTCGAGATCAGATCCGAGTTTTTTTATTAAATAAACGGGAAAACCTTTTTACAAAATTGTACATGGCTATACCGGGTGTCTGCAAAATGGCGGATTCACTCTTCACTACGTTATGTACGGAGGTTTCGAAAATCCCAAGAAACTAATAAAAAAATGTCTTTATGATGTAGATTTTGAAAAAAAAAGTAATTTTAAAAAAGTAAAAACCTCTGGCTTACTTTCAGATTTCTTAGTAATGATGGTAACTAAAATCAACCTTTTATTTTCCTTAGGGCAAAAACCATAACAACCAGTAGAAATTAATCGTTGTGAATTATTATTAATAAAACAAACTGTTATTTTTTATTAATAAATAAACAACAAAACAGTTTAATAAGTCATTTATAAATTATAAACAAAACAGAAACAACATATTCAAAATTTCTGCCTTGTGCAGATAAGTAAGTAAGCTAGTAATGTTTCCAAATTTTGATAATTTTTTTAAAAGTTAGTCATCAGTACTTGCTAAGATAAAATTGATTTTGGCAATTGAGATACCCTGCAAAAAAAGAGGGTGTGGGTGGGCAGTACCATAGTACCTGTTAAGATAAGACTAATTTTGGCAAATGACATACCCAGATTGTTTTAAATTTTTCAAAAAGAAAAACTGGGTTCCAAAATGAACTCAAAAACAAGTTAGATCAGAGTTTTACCTTAGCAGGTACTAGCCCCGCCCACCCACCCTCTCTTTTGTTAGAGGGCATATAATATACCAAAATCAGTCTTATCTTAGCAGGTAGTCAGCCCCACCCACACACCCTCTCTTTTCTTATAGGGTATATAATGCGCCAAAATCAGTTTTATCGTATCAGGTACTGATGAGTAACTTTTAGAAAAAAGTATCAAAATTTTAAAATATTACGAATTTAGTTATATGTATAAGACATCAATTTTGAACATCTTTAGTGTTTAATTGGTTATGCCTTAAGGGATTTTTCATAACTAATACCTACTTGCTAAGATATAACTGATTTTGGCAAATGACATATCCTCTAAGAAAAGAGAGGGTGGGTGGGCGGGGCTAACTACCTGCTAAGATAACACTGACTTTGGCAAAAGAGATACCCTCTAAGAAAAGAGAGGGTGAGTGACCGGGGCTAGTACTTACTAAAATAAGACCGATTTTGGCAAATGACATACACAAATTGTTTTAAATTTTTCAAAAAAAAACTGAGTCTCAAAATTAACTTAAGAACAAGTCAGGTCAGCGTCTTATTTGAGCAAGTATAAGCCCCACCCACCCACCTTCTCTTTTCCTAGAGAGTATCTAATATGCCTAAATCAGTTTTATCTTAACAGGTAGTCTGCCCCACCCACCCACCCTCTCTTTTCTTAGAAGGTATGTCATTTGCCAAAATCAGTTCTATCTTAGCAGGTAACAGTTTGAACATCTCTAGTGTTTAATTGGTTATGCTTTAATGGATTTTTCTTAGCTAATACCTGCTAAGATAGAACTGATTTTGGCAAATGACATACCTTCAAAGAAAAGAGAGGGTGGGTGGGCGGGGCAGACTACCTGCTAAGGAAAAACTGATTTTGGTAAATAACATATCGTTTAAGAAAAGAGAGGGTGGGTGGGCGGGGCTAACTACCTGCTATGATAAAACTGATTTTGGCAAATGAGATACCCGCTAAGAAAAGAGAGGGTGATTAGGCGGAGCTAATACTTACTAAAATAAGACCGATTTTGGCAAATGACATACACAGATTGTTTTAAATTTTTCAAAAAAAAAACTGGGTCTCAAAATTAACTTAAGAACAAGTCAGGTCAGAGTTTTATCTGAGCAAGTTGAGCAAGTATAAGCTCCACCCACCCACCTTCTCTTTTCTTAGAGGGTATGTGATTTGCCTAGGTCAGTCTTATCTTAGCAGGTACTAGCCCCGCCCACCCACCCTCTCTTTTCTTAGAAGATATATCATTTGCCAAAATCGGTTCTATCTTGGCACGTACTAGCTAAGAAAAATCCATTAAAGCATAACCAACTAAACATTAGAGATGTTCAAAATTTCTGTGTATAGAACTATACTCGTCGCTCGGATTTTAATTAGAGCGCATTTTATTATCGTTTGACGGTATTTAACCACATTCCTAATGATCGGTTTAACGGTTAAACATGGCGAACTAATTACGTCGTCGCTAATGTATGAAACAAGTTACTTAGCGTAATGGAAACTGTAATTAATCGTGCACTTTCTACCGAAGACGAATGTAGAAAAAAGGCGTCAGACGTCGCGAAGTTTGCGTTCGCCCGTCCAGCATTTTTTATGAAAAAATAAATAAGAATCTTGGGGGGTTTCCGAGCTTTATGGCTCGTAACTTTTTTTGTGTACGCCTCATAAATTATTTGGCGAAAGTTTTACGCAAGCGGAAACTCGTCCGTAATGAAAACAAGGCGTTCGCGTTTGTTTGTTCGATTTCGGTGGAAATAAAAGATTGTTGATTTTAGGTACCGACGACGAGGCTCAAGAATACGACTACTTGGGCGCTTGGGGACCCCGCTTCGACAAACTAGCAGACATGTACGGTCCAGGAGAAGAGACTGAGCAAGAGGAAGAGGAAGAATAAGTGTCGAGTCGTAATTAGTGAAAAACAAATTTCTGATGTCAAAATTGTTGCGAAATTTGAAGAAGGGGGGACAGATACCAAAAAACCGACGCCGGATTTCAATTCTAGAGCTCGAAATCTACAAGAAAATGTATTTAGTTGGGTTTCGAAAATGTCAAAATTGTTGCGAAATTTGAAGAAGGGGGGACCATTAAAAAATTTCAATTTTAAAAAAGTTGTCTAAAAATTATGAAAAAATTCAGAGACGTAGATCTCGACACGCTGATTCCAAAAATATAACGTGTTGATGGTCACGAATCAACATTTTCGAAAGAATCGCTGCGAAATGCGAATTTTTGAAAATTTCAAAAATTTCGAAATTTCAACGGTCGATTCTGGAAAAACGGTTGCATGTATCAAAAAACCGGAGCCGGATTTGAATTCTAGAGCACGAAATCAACAAGAAAATATATTTAGTTGAGTTTCGGAAATGTCAAAATTGTTGCGAAATTTGAAATTTTTCGACTACTTTCGAAAATTATTTTCTTGTATACTTCGACATACAGAACTTATTTTGGGCCTTATTTCTTGAAAAAAATTGACTTTTACACCGAATGTTCCTAAAAAATTGCTCTAGAACGATAAATACGCCATATTTTTTCGATTTATTTCTCAGAATTTTTTGTATATTTTTGTTCTCAAGTTAAGCTTCTCAAAAGCTCAATTTTTCAGTACCCTTTAAATTTTTGACCTTTTTCGACCACCTTTGAGATTCTTTTGTAGATTTTCACTTTCAGTCTCATTTCATCGAAAATTACTACCATTTTTCCAAAATCGCCCAATAAATATGGCAAAATTTGTGATACAAAAAAATAATAATTTCATGCTGAATGTTTCTAAAATGTTGCTGCGGGACGATAATAACAGTATATTTTTAGAATCACCACGTCAAAGTTTGTTCCAGATTTTTTTGTGGATTTTTAGGCAACTTTTTCAAAAGCTTTGACATTTTTCAACCACGTTCGAAAATTACTTGCAGATCTCTAGCAGTTACTTTCGGCCTCATTCTTGAACAATTCTCATCATTTTTCCAGAATTGGTCAGTAGATTATGGCAGTTTTTGAAATAAAAAAAAAAAAATAGAATTCTAAACCGAATATTCCTAAAATATTGATCTAGGACGATAAACACGCTATATTTTTCAAATTTATATCTCACAATTTTATGTCCATTTTTAAATACTCCTCTTTATGGAAATTTGAACCTATTTCGACCACTTTTGAGATTTTTTCGTTCAAAAATAAATTTTGGTCAAATTTCTTTTTTTCAGGCCGACTGTTTCCAAGATCACTATATTTTTCGCATCAGTAAATCGAATTTTATATCCCAGAATTTTTTGTGAATTTTTAGGCACTTTTCAACATGCTCGATTTTTACATATTTTTTTGACACTCGACTACTTTCTTTCTTGAAAAATTCTCATCATTTTTCCAGCATCGATCAATAAAATATGGCAATTTTCAAGACTTTTCAAAAAAATACATTTTTGAACCGAATATTCCTGAAATATTGCTCCCGGACGATATATACGCTTTATTTTTCGAATTTATATCTCACATTTTTTTGTCAATTTTTTGGTAACTTTCAGAAGCTTCTTCGAAATTGTTTCGTACATTTTCACCTTCAGAAGTAAATTTCGGTTTGAATTTTAGAAAATTCCTATTATTTTGCCAGAATCACCCGATGAATTTGACAAATTTTAGGATTAAAAAAAAAATTTTCAGGCCGAGTGTTTCTAAAATCTTTTTCCGCAACGATAACTACACTATATTTTTTCGAGTCAGCACGTGGAAATTTATATCCCAGAATTTTTTGTGGATTTTTAGCCAAGTTTTTCAAAAGCCCAATTTTTCAATATTTTCGCCCATTTAAAATTTTTGACAAATTTGGACCACTTCCGAAAATACCTTCTTGCAGACTTCGACCTACAAAATTTACTTTCGGCCTCGTTTCTTCAAAACTTTTTATAATTTTTCCAGTTCGGCCAATAAAACATGCCAAATTTTGAAAATTTTCAAAAAAATTTAATTTCAAACCGAATGTTCTTAAGATATTAGCCCCGGACGATAAACACGCAATTTTTTTAATTTATATCAGAATTTTTTGTCCATTTTTAGGTAACTTTTTCAAAAGTTCGAATTTTCAATACTCCTCTTTATGAAAATTTTGAACTCTTTCGACCATTTTCGAGATTGTTTCACCTTCAGCAGTAAATTTCGGTCGTATTTCTTGGAAAATTCTATCATTTTCCAGAATCGACCAATGATATTGGAAAATTTTAGGATTTAAAAATTATGAGTAAGTAATGTTTTATTATCTTAAACTAGAATATATTTTTTCAGACAGAATGTTTAAAAAATCTTGCTCCGGGACGATAATTACACCATATTTTTCGAGTCAGCATGTCGAAATTTATGTCTCAGATTTTTTTTGTGGATTTTTAGGCAACTTTTTCACAAGCTCAATTTTTCGATATGTCCGCCCATTATAAAATTTTTCACATATTTCGACCACTTTCGAAAATACTTTCTTGTAGATTTCGACCTCCAGAAGTTACCTTGGGCCTCATTCTTGAAAAATTCTCATCATTTTTCCAGAATCGACCATAAAAATATGGCAATTTTCGAGATTTTTCAAAAAAATTTAAATTCGAACCGAATATTCCTAAAGTATTACTCCAGGACATAAACACTCTACATTTTTCGAATTTATATCTATATTATGTATTATAATTTTTTTTGTCCATTTTTTGGTAATTTCCAAAAGTTCGATTTTTCAGTATCCCCCTTTATGAAAATTTCGAGCTTTTTCGACCTTTCTTGAGATTGTTTCGTGGATTTTCACCTTCAGAAGTGAATTTCTGTCTTATTTCTTCGAAAATTCCTAACATTTTTCTAGAATCACACAATAAATTTGACAAATTTTAGGATTCAAAAAGATTTTTATTGTTATTGTTACTCGAAAAATATTCTTTTAGAATTTTTTTGGCAAACCAACTGCAACGGAAATAAATACCAAAAACAAGTTGCACTCTTTTTCTTTTCATGATGTTAACCTTTATATTCACTTCCTACCACCCTGACACCCATAAAAAATCACCGCTTATTAAAAATTTTCCAAAAATTTGAATTTCAACTGTACTCTTCTCTACTTTTATTTGTAATTTTTAAACATGCTCTGTCTTTTTTATTATTTACATTTTTCCTTAATAAGCTATGGAAGTTACCAAAGTAGGAGTTTTCTTGGAAAAATTCTCAATGTTGGAGATTTAAAATAAATTTAAAAAACTGGACTACGCACGCACTTTTCACTGTCTTTTTCCAGAGTGGGACAACGTTAGATTGATTTAACTGCCACAAATGAACTATTAACAATGTAACTGCTTTATCTAAACAAACTCCTGACTGTTAAATTGTGTTAGAACCGGTTAACCATTAAAATCCTGACATGAACTGTGAATTACAACGATACAACAAATTTACACCACGTCTTAACACGAAACCGTACATTGCTGGTACACCCTTGACATCATTTGTGAATTTGTGAACTAAGCCTAAAATATTAGGTTCACTGACAGCCCTTTCCATAAGTTCTACGATTAAACTTTCCCTTGACTTTCAGGTCTTAATTTTTTGGTACTTTTTTTCTCTGCTTCCCTTTAGTCAATGTTCCTTACTTTTGTTTAATTGTAAAAAAATGTGTAATACCTATTATACTTCTTTCCATTTAAATTTTAATGTAGGTATTTCATATAAGTAAGTACTGAATTACCAGCTTAAACATGGGTTGCTCGCATAATTGAGCATTAAAATCTCTCGGTTCTTTCTATTCAGAAATATGTTCTGTGTAATTGTGACGTTGTTAGCTAGAGATGTTCCAATATTTAATTTTTTCTAACTAACTACATATTTTAAAACAAGGATGCTACTTCAGCTCTTTTAAAAAATCCAACGGAAAAACTTTGAAAAAAAAGAAATTAACGATCTTTGCAATAAAATTCTTTTGGAATCTGGTTCTGTTAGGCTTTTGTTCTATTTCACTGGGCGATTCTGGAAAAACTGTAAGTATTTCGAAGATAACTTCTACCGGTAGAAATATACCTATAAAAGAATTTCTTTAGGCCATTTTCAAAGTTGCCCGAAAAAATTTCGAATTTTTCATAAGTGAAAAGGGAGTATAGAAAAATTGAACTTTTGTAAAAATTGACCAAAAATCCAAAAACCTTAGGATGTAGATTTTGACGTACTGATTCGAAAAATATAGTAGGTTTAAGAATCCTGAGCAAGATTTCCGAAATTTTTGTTTTGAAAGTTTTTTTTTTAATTCTAAAAATTTTCATATTTCGTTGGGTATAATTTTTCGAATAAATAAGGATGAAAGAATTTTTATAGGCAATCTTCGTAGCTGGTTGAAAAAAAGTCAAATTTTCATAGAGCGGAGAATTGAAATGTTGAGCTTTTCAAAAAGTTGTTTAAAAATGCACAAACATTCTTGTATATAGATCTCGACGTACTGATTCGAAAAATATAGCATGTTTAAGGACCTGTAGTAAAACTTTATAAAAAAAAAATGGTCATATTTCCTTGGGGAATTCTTGAAAAATAGTAGGGTGAAATAGGGCGGAAAATGACTTCTGGGGGTCGAAATCTAAAAAAATTCGCCTTAGATAACTTCCAAGTTGTTGATTAAATAGATTTTGACAGTAAAGAATCTACTCTAAGTGAATTTAAACCGAACTTCCCTCGCCTTTGGAGCATAGACAAACAAATCCAGTTGTCTTCAGAAAATTTTATTTTTTTGTGATCACGCCTATAAATCATTATAACTCCACCATAATGTGTGAAGGATTTTTTTACTATGTCAGATTCACCAGCTGATTGGTAAGAGCGTAGCGGAGAGTTAATTCACCATTTTCCAGACACCCGGTACAGTAAAACTGAGTAATTCGTCGCATCTTGAAC